CTAGTTTGTTTGTCGATATCCATGATACTCTTTACTGTTCAATGTATAATCAGCATCAGGTATTGAAAAGATCATTACATGATCCGATGATGAATTCAAATGTTGTTACGGCTGCAGGAATAGGTATTAGAGGATCTGCTTCGAATCAACTCGATGGTCCTTTTGGAATCTTTGTTGATGTGAATTCCGATTTATATGTAGCAGATTGTTACAATGACCGTGTTCAGTTGTTCCAGTCGGGAGAATTACATGGCATCACAGTAGCTGGAAGTACATCGCTAAATCCAACACTTACACTTCGTTGTCCAACTGGAATTATATTAGATGCTGATAAATATTTATTTATTGTGGATTTTCTCAATAGTCGTATTGTTGGTTCAGACTTGCATGGTCTTCGATGTTTAGTTGGATGTTTTGGACAAGGATCACAATCCAATCAATTGGATAGTCCAGTTAGTTTTAGTTTCGATCGTTCTGGAAACATGTTTGTTACTGATCAAAGAAATTCTCGAATTCAAAAATTTTTGTTGATGAAAGATTCTTTTGGTAAGTTGAATAAAACGAAAAGATGTAAATAGAGAAGTAACAGAAGTTAATAAAGATGTTTCAATCGTCTAAAGCAAGCAATCTTCAGCTTTTTGTTGAGATTAAATAATAGAGAAACAAAAAGTTCTATCCTCGATGAAGTGGTAGAACGAGCTTTCGTGTGTCATTTTATATCTCTCAAAGAATATTTCATCAATGAAACAGTTTTTATTTAAAAAAAAACAACTTAATAATTAAAATTCACTTGAGAAAGGCGAATGAGACGTTCAAAATTCCAAAGAAAGATTTTTGATTGATAAAATTTCTCCTTTTCTCTTGATTATTTCTCCTTAGATAAATAATTTGTTTTATTCAGCTATTTTCTTTGATACAATTTATTCTTTCTATTTTTCTTGATTTTAGCTGTATCATTCAATCAGCCAAAGTTTTGCCCAACAGCCTTTTGGAATTCTAACGGAATCACTGTTGCTAATCAATCAGTTGTTGGTCGATATCCTAACGCTTTTTTTGTGAACACAAACAATACAGTTTATGTCGCTAATCAAGAAAAAAACGCAATTGTAGTGTGGCAAGAAGGGAGTGTCAATCCAACAAAGATCATTACCAGTAATTTTGTAATACCTTATTCTCTCTTCGTGACATCAAATGGTGATATTTATATTGGTGATGAATATGAGAATGGCCGAGTACAAAGATGGAGTGCAGAATCAAATATGTTTGTCACAGTGATAAATGTCAATTCACTATGTGGCGGTTTGTTTGTCGATATCTATGATACTCTTTACTGTTCAATGTTCAATCAAGCTCAAGTAGTGAAAACATCATTAAATGATCCGATGATGAATTCAAATGTTGTTACGGCTGCAGGAATAGGTATTAGAGGATCTGCTTCGAATCAACTCGATGGTCCTATTGGAATCTTTGTTGATGTGAACTTGGATTTATATGTGGCAGATTGTAGAAATAATCGAGTTCAATTGTTTCAGTCGGGAGAATTACATGGCGTCACAGTAGCTGGAAGTACATCACTAAATCCAACAATTACACTTCGTTGTCCAACTGGAATTATATTAGATGCTGATAAATATTTATTTATTGTAGATTCTAGCAATCATCGTATTGTTGGTTCAGACTTGAATGGTTTTCGATGTTTAGCTGGATGTTATGGACAAGGATCACAATCTAATCAATTGTCTGCTCCATCCAGTTTTAGTTTCGATCATTCTGGAAACATATTTGTTATTGATTCATATAATCATCGAATTCAAAAATTTCAATATCTGGCAGAATCATGTGGTAAGTATTGAAATACTTTAATATAACGTTCTATCTTTTCATAGTAGGATTAGTTCTCTACAAAAATTCTGGTATAGAAGAAAATTTATTAAAGCTATTCATTTCTCTATGTATGAGTATAAACATTTTCTAAAGAAAATGAATCGGTAGTAAAAACTTGTCATAAAGTTCCTGATCTATACGAATCAGCTGATGTAAAGATTATTTCTCAGATTATTTTATACATAACTACTGTCAAACACATAATTTATTTGAATCTCTATTCGAATAAATGTGTATTACACTTTAGTACTTTCAAAATAAAAAAATGTGTAACTCACATATCACTCATTTATTATGCCCACTTATTAGTAATTGGAAGAGGGAGGAGTGCCGGAAAACTTAACTCAAAATCTACTTGAGTTCAACAAAATTGAAGAAAATGTTGAATACATTTTCATGATATGAATAATACTAATTATTACCTCTATACACATAAGACACATATAGGATTACTGAGCATTTCGCAGAATTACTCAAAAGAGATATTGATCTCCCGATTTCATAATAGTCTACAGATATAGTCTTCAGTAACTGTTTACATGAAATATTCGACAGATGAAGATATTATTTTGTTTGACAAGAGTTTTATGAATAAAGTAACTTTTCATATCAATTCTATAAAGTTTCATTTGATTTTTGTTTCATGAATAACATCAATCGAAAAATAATAATACATAAAGTTTATATTTTTATTGAATAGATATGTCATCGGTGGTTGAAACAATGTACTCATCTGTATTAACATCAAATCATCCAATATATCCACGTACTGGTTGTGATATTTCGTACTACTATGAAGCCATAAAAATGCAGGTTTATAAAAGTGGTCATTATAGTTTTAATAGTATGAGCAATATCAATACATATGGCTACATGTACGCAAAGTATTTTGATCCATTTAGTCCGTCTGCATATTTAATCGCCGAAGATGATGAGAGTTCCAGTAATTCTCAGTTCAATATCAGTATTCCCCTTGAGATCAATACTGAATATATATTGGTTGTAACAACATTTAATTCAAATGTAACAGGACCATTCTCAATTCGTGTGTCTGGTCACGATCGTGTCGGTCTCGAACGTTTAAGTAAGTATCGATATTGCTTATTGAGTTTTCGTAGTATTGCAAGTAAAAACAATTTCCATAAGTTTATCAACTGATTTTGTCAGATATGAAGAGATACTATTATCAATTATTTACTATAAAACAAAACAAAATTAGATAAAATAATTTTTATGATTTTTTTTCTGTTAGCTCACTGAAATAGTCTGTGTTCTTTTTAATGAAGCAGTGACTTTAGGAAAATGTATTTGAAAGAAAATTAATATTCAAAAACTATTTCAATGTTAATAAATATATTAAGTACCCGGATTGATTAGATACTCGACCAGTGATCCAATCAACATACTCATCAATGTTGACAGAGGATAGTCAACATTTTTCTCATTACTCTGAAAAAGAAAATTATTATTATGAAAGTATACAAATCAATGTGAACGTAGCTGGATTATTTATTATTTCAAGCAAGAGTCGGTCCGATTTATCCGGGTATATCTACAAGTATAGTTTCAATCCATTAAATCCGACTGAAAACTTACTCGAAGTGGATGATAATGGATGTTCTGATAATCAATTCAAACTCTTAATTGCTCTTGAAGTCAATACTAAATACATATTAGTTGTAACAACATCACGTGCAAATGTTACAGGAACATTTTCAATCATTGTGTCTGGACCAACAAACGCCATTCTCGAACGTACTAGTGAGTGCTCGTTTTATACTGTGATAAAAAAAAGTGTAAATGCATTCAGTTTCATTTTGTATTGAGTTTTCCAATCAGCTAGATGATTTAGTGTCGCTTATATACATTATTCATAAAATTACTTTGTATTCGAAAATCGCAAGTGACTAACTGATACAGATGAAGCGATCCTATGCGTTTGAGAAAATCGAATTATCTTAATTCGCAAATAGAATCACAAGATAAAGATGGTTTATTGGAAATGATAAAAACATGTGTAAACATCGATGCTTCAGCGAATGAGTTCTAAAGATTGAAGAGAAAGAAGAAGTATAGGTATTTCAATGTATCTGTGGATGTTGGAATCAGTGAAGATACGAGTAGATCTGGCGATATAGATGAGTACGCAGATATCATAATTATCTTCAAATCGATTCGTTTATTTAGATATTTCATCTACATCTATATCAACAGCAACTGCATTCAGTAAGTGAAAGATAATATCTATAAATAACGTTGAATTAATTAGAAAGATTTTACATATTCATTTTTCTGATCATTATAATATTTCAAGCAGATAAAAGTGACTTAGTTTTCTAAATAATTAATTCTGATAAAAAAAGTTGAAGAATTGATCTTGTCTTTTAGCAACAACAACGAAACCATCATATGCTTGCACGAATTATCGTTCTACATGGATGTTAACTATAATTTATCCACTTATTAATTTAATGAAAAAACTAATATAAACTAATATTTATTTTCAAATTCGTTTCATAACTCAGCTTATGTCATTTGACATTACTTTGCTTTTTATCTTATGAATAAATTCATTTAGTTTTCGAAAAACTTATTTGAATCTTGAGGGTGGGTGTGAATGGATGTTTCTAAAATAAAAAGAACTGTAAACTCATCTCGATAACCGTATAGTAAATACATCTTTTTCTACACTGAAATTTCAAAATGAAATCAGTTCATCAATTATGGCACGATAGCTTAAACACGTTAGTGCGAACCATTACGAAGTTTTTATTCATCGCATGTGTTTTTAGTATTTATGTATTCACATTAATAGAGAGTTATCAAATAAGTATGAGTAAATCATTAACCTATAATGAATCTGATCAAAACACATATGGATGCAACTCTATTTATCATAGTTATTTGTAAAAATAAATTATCAAAATGTATTTATTAAAGAAGTTTTCTGTTTGAAAAAAAATCTATTATAATTTGTTTTTTTAGTAGATTCATCACAAAATGAAAACATTTATTCAGAATGGGTAATTAACGAAGTTGATGGATAAAATTTATCGGATTTCGTCTTTCAGGGTGTGGATGTGAATGAAGAAGATACATTTACCCACACACACACCCACACCCACCCTCAAGATGATCATGAATCCACTCTCACCCTCTGTCAATATCAAGATTTGATCGACTTTTTTGTAAAACAATATTATCCAACATACATACACTAAAAATACAATTTCCTGTCATTCTTAAAGCATAGAGCAAATAAACCTAAAAAAATGGGTCATTTACTGTGAAACAATTATAAGTACTTTCTATTCTTCACGTATATAATCAATCAACAATCTCTTCTCTTTTCTCTCTATCATGTAGATATTTTTAGTTTTATTTTATTTTTATTTATGAGCTTTGTCGAAAATGATTAATATCTTTTAATAATAAACAAATTTTTTTTTAAATATCCGTGATGTTTATTAATGACTCAAAGATCTCTTTTGAATGTGTAGTTGACTTGATAATCTTGAATTGAATGAAATTTGCTCTGATTGACGAGAATGAAAGAGTATTTTAAATGTTTTTTTACGAATAACTGAACTTGTCATTAATAAAATCGGAAAATGTGAACAATGATGAAGAATTTCCATTAATTCTAATATAAGTGCTAAATTATTTGTTGCCATTTTTTGATTATATACAGCTGACCAAGCATTTAATATTCCTGTAGGTGCTGTTAATAATATAAAAGTAATACTTGAAATGAATACATACAATATTACACTTTGTTCTCTCCAATCATTTGTTTTTCGTGTACCTAAACGATGTCGACGTTGATATGCACGACGTTGTAAACCAAATATCAATATAATATTTGTTGATATAATCAATACTGGTAAAATGGCATTATTTAAACCAATAGTTTCAATAAAAATTAAATCAGTTAAAGAATATGAATAACCATAAGATTTATAATATGCATTATCACATGAAAATAATATTGAATGATTTAAATATGTTACAAAACAATATGAAACATCATAAGGTAAAAAGAGAAATGGATGATCATAAATAATAACAAATATTACAAGAAATACAGTTATTATACATGCACGTCGACGAGTTATTAAACAACGACGATTAGTGATCCATACTTTCAAATTACGTTCAATACCTTCAACAATAGAAAAAAAAACAGAATGAAAATCTCTTCCTAATTAATAATATATATGTGAAAGATCTTTTTTTTTTGTTTTACCTAGTGCACAAAGAAATAAATAGGATAAATTTTCACTGCTAAGTGTTAAAAACCATGTTATTGAACAAACAAGATATCGATGATCAATATAAAAATAAAGAATATGTACTATATATTCTGCTATTAATTTAATAATATCTGCTATTGATAACGCAATGATAAATATACCATATGGAGTTTTATCAAGAGATTTAGTACGATAAAAAAGTAAACATGAACATAGATTAAGTAAAATTCCAATGATTGTTAATAAACAACCAAGAATAAAAAATAATAAAACAAGATTTTCATTAACATTTACACATGATGAATTCATGAGAGTAACTCCAAAGTCAGATTTTGGATGTGTTTGTCGAGAGAGAATGAGGAATGAGAATATCTTGCTTTGAATTTTTTCTTTTTCTCCTGTCAACGAAAGGAAACAACAAATGTTAAACAAGTATTTATAATCAAACACATATGCTAAATTAACTTTGTTAATGTCA